GGTCGTTACGCTGCAGCGTACACTCCGATACAAGGCCCTCTTCAGAAAATGCGAGAGCGACTTTAGCTTTAAGCTTTTATTGCTGCGAATCACCGTCTCCGTTCTTAAAACTAAAGGGTGTAACTGGCTTCTAACAGCCAATCAGCACCGGTCTCATTTGCATAAGCGGGTGTCGAACGTTCATAGCTCTGGAAACGAAAGATATAATTTCGTTCTTTGGAATACTGTTTTTTCTTGTGAAAGTTGCATTGTGCCTCGTTGCTTATACAGCAATAGGAATTAGAGATCGCCACTCTGAACTCACCCTCAGTAAAAATGGAGTTCATGGCTATCCCATGTTCTCTCCAGAACACTTCCAATAGTGCTTACAGCTCTTTTTGAATTTGTCTAGTAGGTCTTCCGGTAGTTACCGGAAGGCCCCTTATTAGGCGGTGTGTTTTTAACAATAGAGTGTTTTAAAATGTATGTTTTTATTTCGTTTATTTTGTTGTGAGTGTTGTTAGTAGGTATTTTTTTCTTCGTGTTCCGGATTTTCGGGGGAAGTTAGGGTTACGTGGGCAGCCTTCCGGCCACGCTGTGTTTTCTCGCCGTCACCTATCTAGACAGCCGATGCAGGAGTCTTCCTGCTTCTGAGCATTTTTAGGATCTGCTGCACGTGCAACTTTTGTTGCACTATGGCGTCCGCCTCGACCCAACCTGTGTCCCTAAGCGCCGAACAGGCCAAGGGTGAGAACATCCTAGTCACCGGGTGGGCTGCCTGCTGGAGGAGGGTGCGGGTGGAGGTTACCGAGCGAGAGATGTGCTTGCATCGCTGGGAAACAGGGCTTAGGGTGCCATCTTTCTTCCTCCTCTAAGAGGGGTCCCCTAGAGCGAGGGATTCGGAGCCGTGTTTATCGGGTTACTGCGGCTTCAGTCCACCAATTATCTGCCCTTTTCCCTGCGCTGTCGGCTGAGCTCGCCGGCCATGCTCCGGTGCCTAACCCGGGATGCCTCCCCCCCGGGTTGCGTCTGCCGCACAGTGGTTCTGGCTGAGGTGATCCAGGCGTTCTCGACCCCGGAGAACGCCGTGCGAATGGACGAGGCTCGGGACAACGCGTGCAATGATATGGGCAAGATGCTGCAATTCGTGCTGCCCGTGGCCACGCAGATTCAGCAGGAGGTTATCAAAGCCTATGGCTTCAGCTGCGACGGGGAAGGTGGGTCGGACAGGGATTGGGGAGAGAGGGTGCTGGATCTGTTGGATCCCTGAGCTGTCGTCTCCGTCTTCGCCACACGGCGGCAGCCACAATCTGACTAACAATATTGGGCCTGAGCCCAGGGTCTACTTGAATTTATGCCAGGTGAAGTCCTAAGTGCATTTTGCATTTACCATTAATTATAGTATTATCCCATTTTATGATGAGAAAACAGACTCTAGTAGTAAACTAAGTGCCCGAGCTGGACCTGAACCCTGTTCTGATAGCTTTTAGTGAGGGGTCTTCATGGCTGTACTCTTCTGCAGCCCCTGCAAGGTGTTTCAGTTAATCTGAAGGCTGGCAGTTCAGTTTCCTTGATGAGATCACTGTGTTTCCTAAGAGTGTTTACTGATTCAGGCCAGTTGGCCCATGGCCCTCCTGTGTCCTGGTTATAGATGTGCGATCTCATGGGTGCCCATACTTTGGGTTCCTGCGACTAAACTGCTAAAATGGTTCACCTGATAGTGAGAAACACACTGCTTTGGGATATTTCTGTTCGTTGCATTTCGTCCAGTTGTGCCCAGTGTAGACCAGGAGGTGGTTGATTTGAATCCTATAGGGCAGAGGCATGCATGTGTCTTGTTTTGCAGACAGCTACCTGGCCAGAGGGGGAGCAGCCAGTGACTCATGCTCAAGCTGCCCTCTCCTGATGTCTTGGGCACCCTGTCCCCTGGGGGTATGGGTTGATGCTCCGCTCCACCTTGCAGGTGTCCTTAAGTTTGCCCGCTTGGTCAAGTCTTACGAAGCCCAGGATCCGGAGATTGCCAGCCTGTCAGGCAAGCTGAAGGCACTGTTCCTGCCGCCTATGACACTGCCACCCCACGGGCCGGCTTCAGGTGGCAGCGTGGCCGCCTCCTGAGGGTTGTCCTCCCTTTTGACACTGCCCAGGAAGACCTTGGTGTCCCAGAGGATAATAAACATGCTTGTGATTTAGCCTCAGTGTCAGTCTTTTGTGACTCTGACAACCCCGCCTCCTGGCCCCGGATGCCTTCTACCATTCCAGCTGCTCCTTGTCCAGATCCTTCCTATACTCTTGCTGGGCCCAGCCCTGCTCCAAGGCAGGTTGGGAGGGTGGGCCAGCCCCTTAACACCTGGGTAGGTGAGCCAGCACAGGTGGCACTTCTGCTGAAGAGTGGGGCTTCCTGGTCTTTTCCTGAGCCCTCTTGGTGGCTGCGGACCAAGAGGCTCCCCCATTGGTTGGTGTTCACTTGGCCAGGATTACTTCCTGGTCTTTGCCCCCACCCTCCTTCCTGCTGCCTTGTCAGCTTGAGCTCCAAGTGGAGCTCCAGGTGGCTCCTCCCCTCTCAAGGGAAAAAGGCCCCGGACAGGCAGGCGGGCCCTGGACTCCCAATCCAGGAGTAGAGCTGGAGGGAGAAACAAGCTGCTGTGGGAGGTCTGAGACCAGCCCCGCCCACCTGTCTCTTCTCTGGGAACCGCTAGTCCAGGGGCTTGTCCCTGTGGTGCCATTGGCCTGGTGGGCAGCATCGAAGAGGAAGTGGCTGAGTTCCGAGCAGAGCTTTCTGCCTCACCTGGTTTGGGCCGCGGCACAGCTGCGCCTCTGGCTCAGTCCCGCCCCTTGTGACCCTCTGTGACTTCCCCATCCCTCTGGGGAGATGCTGTCCTGTGGGTAAGTCCCTTGCTCCACATAAGTGCTACAGTCTCCTGTTAGTTTGGGAGGGAGGGGCAAGGCTCATGGTCGCTCCTGAGAGGTATGTGACCATGAGTGCTGACCAATCTGTTGTTGCCCCCTGCTCTGGGTGGCTTCCTGTCACTCCCCTCAAGTTTCAAGGAACTCCAGGCTCATTCATGCTCCTCGGGGGGCCTCCCCGCTTTCTCTAGCACTTTTCCCCTGACAGATATGTATTCATTTTCACTATTGCATTTCTCTCTCCGATGTTTCATTCCCTGCCTCTGCCCTCTGTTAGGACCTGTCTCCCTGGGTAACCCACATCACCTGAAACCTACCGTGTCTAAAAGGCAAACCTGAGAAAACTTGCCTTCATTCCACTTTCTTTTAGTTCCCCTTCACTTCCCTCCCCTACATCAATTATACAACAGATACATGTGAGTCTGTTATGTACCAGGTCCTTTTTAAGGTGCTGGCAATACTATATCTGACAGGACAGATGTGGTCCTTGCTGTCTTGGAGTTTTATTTCACTGGAGTTACATACTATACAAAGAACTCAATTAATAGGATAACCTCAGATTCTCAGAAGTGTTATTCAGAAAATGAAACAACTTCATGTGCTAGCAAGTGACTGGGGGTGCCAATGACATCACTAGCTAGAGGGGTCAGGGAGTATTTTCCTCAGCAAGTGAGCTGAGACCTGGGTGATGAAGAAGAGCCAGCCTAGTGCCCCTGAGCAGAGGGAATGGCGAATGCGGAGGCCCAGCTGTGGGAACAACCAACCACACAAGGACAGCGTGCCTGACGTGGGGTAAACCGGTCGAGAGGGAGCCAGGGCCCAGGCAAGACTTGTTGGAATTTGGATCTTATAGCGAAGACCTGCTTGGAATGATGGCGACTTGGTGGGATAGTCAGCCCCAAGTCCTGCAGGTTCTTGCCTTTCACTCACATCTTCCCTTTTCTATTTGTGCCGTCTCCCCCAGTGCACACCTCATCACCGTCAACCCCTCTGACAGAGTTCTTATCTAGTCTTCTGGCCTCTAATCCCTTCCATATTCCTGCCATGGTCGTTTTCCTTTCAGGTGATTGGCAATCTGGGTGCAGAATTTTTCCTTAGTTCCTCAGCCTGACCTTGTAGGACCCTCTGCCACAGGTCACAGCCTCTCAGGGCGGCTTTGCTGCAGGCAAGCTGCTCTGCTCACGCTCAGCACTGCTGAGCAGTTCCTGTGCCTGCCATCTCAGTGCTGCCTCTGCGGGAGCTCTGGCTATTCGGCTTAACCTTGGGCGCTGTGCCAGTCCCCAGCCCACTGAAGTCTGCTCCAGCAATATGGTTAGTGTACGGGAAAGGGCAATGGACTGGCGTCAGACAGACTTGGTTTGTCCACCTTCCCACTCAGTAGCTTGTGCCCTTGGACAAGTTTACTTAACTTTTCTGAACCTTACCTTTTAGGTCTAAAATTGGGCTAATAAGACCTACTAAATAGTGTTGGCATGTGGATTAATTTGTAATGTAAAAGCTGTTAGCACTAAAACCTTACTACATATCAGCTTTTTGTATCAGTATTTGGGAAATATTGTTAAGCCCATTTATCAGGTATGGATGCTGAGGCTTGGATAAGTTCAATAACTTTCTAGAGATTATTTCTGCTTGTTTGCCCTTCTAGACTCCCTATCTTTCTGCTTATCTCCATCTCTACCTTCATTTCTCTGCTTCCCAAGTGAATAATTTGTTCTTCTGAATTATTAGGCACTTACTTTTGTAACTCTCAGCTTCCTTGAGCCTGTTTTCCTCCCTTAAAAAAAAAAAAAACCCAGGGAAAATAATTCCTACATCACAAGGATGTCTGAGGCCCAGATGGGATTGTGTGTGAACAAGTGTTTTGCAAACCCCAGAGCACTTGTGGCAAGGTAAGGGAGGTGGTTGTTATTTATTTTCCTGTTAAGGGACAGCAGAGGCTGTATATCTTACATTGGTGTCTGTCTGTCTTTTGGGTTGACAACCTTCAGAGAAATTCCTACCTCTTCCACAAGTCAAGAGTTTTTGGGTGCCTAGCTAGTTTCTTCCCACCAAATGGGTTTAAGCCCCTGAAAGAGAGTGGACTGGGGCTGGGGTGTAGCAGGTGTTCAGTGCCGAGCATGGACCTGCAACTTCATGTGTGGTTAGGATGGTGTGTCCATGTGGGTGTTTGTACTGGACCAGATATATGTGTAGATGGACATGAGTTATCAGGTGCATGAAGTGGGACTGTGTGTGCATATGCGTGCATGTGTTCCTGTATATGACAAGCCGGGGCTTTATGTGTAGGACCAGGAGCTGGACTTGTGACCATGTAAGTGCATAGGTATTGATGAGCTCGTTTATTGAACACATGCTTTGTGTGAGGCATTGTGCTAAGCTTTGAACATTCTGAGGCAAGCAAGACGGGCAGTGGACCATGTGGTGGAGCCGACTGTGCAGATACTCTTCCTGCCCCTTGCTGTGGGAGGGAGTTCATGATCTTTCAGCATGGCTATCCAAGACTGAAAGGGTAGTCAGTGTTAGATCATGCAAAAAGCAGACCAAGAAAGTCCTCCAGTACCAGAAAGAGGGGGAAAAAAAGAAGCCCTTTTTTTCGGTGGCAGGGGGACAATTGATGTTTGATGTTTCAAAAAATGGCATAGTAGTCATCATAGGAAAAACAGACTTTCGTTGGGCTTTAATACTTTGCTATTTATTTTTCTTAGTTTTTATTGTGGTATGGCATCTATAATGTGTATGGATATTAAGCACGCAGCCCGATGAACCGCACATTAATACGCACCCATGTACACACCACCCAGGTCAAGATGTAGAACGTTCCCTTCACCCTAGCATTTTCCTAGCAATTGTTATCGCCCAGTTTACTTATTTCTGTAAAGGTAAAACATGCCTATGCCACAACTTTCAAAAAGGTATAAGGGAGAAGTCAACGTTCCTTTCAGTGCTCTCCTCTAGCCACCCAGGGTCCCTTCCTAGGGGAGGCCACCAACATGACTGTCTCGTTGGACTTCTTTCCTCTTGTTTTGGTTGGGTGGTATTTGTGTTTGTGTTTGTGTTTGGAATTACACACCTGAAGCATCATAAGAGTTAGTGTTTAGAGTCTCTCAAGGTCAAACAGTCCTGAGACTATCAGCCATGGCAGGGACCTTGGCCTTAGCCCCCAGGGGACAGACCCTTGGTCAGAGTCCTGAGTCCAGCTGATTCAGACCAGACACACACTTGTCAGGCAGTTGTGGCTCAGACATAGTGGGGGTGGATCGAATAGGGCTGGTGGCTCTGCCCCCATCTGCTTCCCCCTCATCATTCTGTTTCTGGGCTCCAACTACATGGTTAGGACAGGGTGGGGGCAAAGGCTAGGGAACAAAAAGTAGAAAATGTGCAAGTTTGACAGGGCTGCACAGGGGCCATTTTGTCCACCCCTCTGCCCCAGTGGTACCTCTTCAAATATGTGTGTCGGGAAGGTGAAGGCACCCCTCCCTTTGTAAGCATCTGCAGATCTTGGCTATTAGGGACTCTCTCTCAGTGGAAGAGGAGTCTCCCACCCTCTCTTCTTTGAAGCTCTGAGGGCTGGCACATGGTAGCTAAAATCGGTGGCTTTAGAACCAGACTGTATTTCATTTTGGCACTGCCACTTACTGACGGATGACCTCAGGTAAGCTCCCTATACTCCCTGAGCCTTAAGTTCTTTGTCTATAAAATGGGAATTAAAAATAATACCTGCTTCATAGGGCTATTGTGAGGAGTAAATCAGATAAGGCTCGTAAAGGGTGTTATAGCATAGTGCCTGGCGTACAGTGAGACTCCATTCAATGATGGTTGCCCCCATGACCATTATTATTAGCTTGGACCAGGGAAGGCTGTGTGAAAGCAGCTGGTGGAATAGGAAGAGACGGCATCTGACTGTGAGGGTTCACGTGCATGAAGCATGATCTTCACCGGGACGATGTAAGGCACATATAGGTCCTTGTTTGTGGAGAGCCACGCTCCTAAGGCCTTTGATGGCAGACATGTGGGAAGTGGGCCCTGTCCCCACCCCCATTGCCACTGTGCTCTGCTTCTCTTCCCTCTGCTCTAAAATGAGAAGTACAGTGAGTTTCCCCAAGGGGTCGGCCGCGCCCCTTCCTGTCCCCGCCCTACCCGGCTGCCCTAGTGGCAGCCCTGTAGCCAGGACTGCAGGGGTAGTGAGGTGGCCTGGGCATTGAGGGCCAATTTGAGGCTTTGCCACAGCGTCCTCTGCCTGCCAGGACTCCCCAGCACCACCTTGTTCCCTGTGCCCCCTTCCTCTTGGGGAGCCCCCAGGATGGTGAGGTAAGGGCCTGGGACCCACGGTAGGCAGGAGGCAAGGGTGCTGTGGAGCGCATGCGACCTCTCCTTACCGCCCTCCTGGGCCTCCCAGGTGGTTTCATCGAGACCTCAGTGGGCTGGATGCAGAGACCCTGCTCAAGGGCCGAGGTGTCCATGGGAGTTTCCTGGCTCGGCCTAGTCGCAAGAACCAGGGTGACTTCTCCCTCTCCGTCAGGTAGGTGGCCCTCAACTCTAGCCAGGGCCAGTATTCTGGCATCTCATTCCCAGTTCCCTCAAGGCAGTGCCAACTCCCCATCCCCCAGCCCCAGCGTGTCCCCTGTTCCTGTCTGTGTCTACCCCATCCTGTGTGTGTCCCATACTCAGGACCTCAGCCTATCCCTCACCCGTCCCGACCTCTACTCCTGCACCCACTGGCCTCACTGCCTGGTGCCCTGCAGGGTGGGGGATCAGGTGACCCATATTCGGATCCAGAACTCGGGGGATTTCTACGACTTGTATGGAGGGGAGAAGTTTGCGACGCTTACAGAGCTGGTGGAGTACTACACACAGCAGCAGGGCGTCCTACAGGACCGCGATGGCACCATCATCCACCTCAAGTACCCTCTTAACTGCTCCGACCCTACGAATGAGAGGTGAGGAGCTTCACTTCCGCCCCTAACTGTCAGTGCCTTCCCCATCCAGGCTCCTTCTCAGGGCTCTGTGGGCCTCTTTTCTCCATGTGACCCTGGGGCTATATCTCAGGGGACTCACCTCCCATCCTTTTCCATCAGTCCCTGAGAAAGGGCTCACCTCCCTGTCAGCTGGCAACCCAGGCCCGACTAGTGACAGGCTGCTCCTTGTGGCTGTGTTTCATAGCAGGACAGCTCTGTTGTTAGAAAGCTCTTCTTCCTTCTATGGAACTGATTCTGCCTTCCTATAACTGTTCCCTCCTCCAGGTCAGGTTAATACAGTGAAAGGTGGCTGCTGAGGAGGAGCACAGGGACTAATATCTATGAGGACACTTAAAGCCTTATCTTGGTGGGGAAGGGTCTGGTCCTGTGTGTAAGGGCCTAGTACCTAGACATAGGGTAATACTCAAGGCATTTCCCTCCCATTCCTTTGGCTCCAAAGATATTGCCTCAGAGGTGGGCTGGCCGCTTTCCAGATGGTCTCCCTAAAGCCTAGATGGGAGAGAGGTGGGGGCACCTGAATACTCAGCATTGTAGGTGGCTCATTTTAATAGCTACATCTCAATGACAGCTCCTATTAAGGTAAAGGACAGCTGAAAAACTAGTTGATTTTTTTCCCCACACTCCTTAGGCTGAACCATCCTGCCCTTGTCCGATATTTGTGTGTTGATTGTTGAAATGATTCTGAACCTTGATTCTGTCAGTTTTCAGTCTTTCTGAGATGCATATCTCCCAACTTGCATCAGTATTTTTGTTTAAGTCACTGATTAAAACTTAGAACTGGATGAGGTAAGGTGAAGGCTCCAGGGCCCCACCACTGGAGACCCCTCTCTAGTCAACATGAAACTATTGATCCACTTCCTCTGAAGCCATGTCTTCTAGGAGTGAAGCCTCAGCGTTGATGACCGTGCTCATGGTTACCCTCCTTAGTACTTTCTCACCCTTTTCTTATGCCCCACCTGTAACACACATGGAGTTTTTGCCATCCAGACCCTCTTGAACTTCTCATGTCGTCTCTCTGCCTTGCCCACAGCCAGGCTCTTCCCTGTGGGAGGAGAAGGGGTTGACCAGACCATAGAAAAGCAGTAGGTTGTATGAAGCTCGAGGAGGGAAGGAGGAGCTGAGCAGACTCCCCTGGGGAGGGAGCTGAGGCCTGGGTTCACACTGCTTGAGAGAACCAGGAGAAGGACAGAACTAGGGCTGGGGACAGTCAAGCATTGAGGGAGTCAAGACCAGGGAAGCTGAAGCTAAGAAGCCCTTTTGGTTACCCATGCCTGGATGCCTGGGCTCACCCCTGGCCCTGTGACTGTGGGTGGGAGGCTTTTCCTCCAAACCTCTCTGCCTGTGTCCTTGCCTTGGCTGCTGCCCTTCCCCCTCCACAGGAATTTGCATTTGTCCCCTTGATGGCTAGCTCTGTGTCTGTGGTCAGCCTGACATTTGCATGGAAACTTCCTCATCCTGGGGCCTGGGGGAAGAGGGTTAGCCCCCTCCCCATTGCCTGGAGGCCCTGGCCTGTCCCTGAGCGATGGGATGGAGTGTGGCCCAGGGGACTCCTGGACAGGTCAGGAGACTCAGAGGTCTCCCAGCTGCAGTCTCCTCTGGGCTGGAGTGAGATGGGGCAGACAGATGGGCCCCCTCCCTCCTTCCCCCCATCCCTGCGGTTGGAAAATGCACCCCCCCTCCGGAGGTCCTTGGGCTGAGGAAACCTCACAACCTCACTTCTCACTCTCTCCCCAGAAGGAGTTTTGTGTTTTTTCCATCACGTGGTTTCCTGTGGGGCTGGGCATTGTGGGGCTGCAGTTTCCTCCTGGGAAGGGGGTGTGCTTGGGGAAAGGTCCTAGTTCTGCTTTCTGCCCCTGTGAGCCCCTGTGAGCCCCCTCTGAACCCCTCTAAACCCCAGTCACCCCTACAGTCACATTATCCAGGGTACCCTAGAGCTCTCTAAACCACTTTCTTCAGTGGGTTGTCTGTCTCCCCCTCCTCTGTGGGGGAGTTCTCCCTGTCATGCCTCCCTGGTGACTTCCGTTTCTCCCATCTCCATCGCTCCCTGTGGTTTGGGCTTTGTCTGCATTTCTCTCGGCCTCTGTCC